TTCCTCATCTCCGAGAATGCATCTTCAACATAGCATCTCGAAATACTCAGTTTTCTTCCTCTCCGAGAATACCTCTTCAAACATGTCACACCAGAGCAAGATTATCACATATCTTCAGGGACCATAGCAAGATTATCTCATATCATGCAATCTCTCTGTCCTTTCCTTTGTCCTTGTTCTTGCCTGCGAAGACAAGGATAAAGAAAGCAATATGTCGGAACCTCCACTCAAACTCCTGGTAAGGAACCGACTGCCTGGAACCTTTCCTGATTGCTTACCTAGTGTTGCTCTCGAGTAGTCATCTTCAACGGTTGGAGCTGGGTCTCCAGTCACCAAGAAGTGATGAACCATCCAAATGCAAGGGTTGCACTCCACTCCGGCATCAGAGGGCAAATACTGCAGGAGAAGATGTCACACATGCATGGGGGAAAAGCAGGGAAAATACTACTTAAGCAAAGGGAGCAAATAAGGAAAGTGAAAATGATACATTGAAGCATGTGGAGACAAGCGCAATAAACGCGTGCTGATTCATCCCTGACAAAACTGAAGATCACTTGCCACATGAAGCTCCTCATGGTCCAATTTCATTCAAGATCAAGCCTCGAAGGTCCTTGAAGAAATCACAAGTCCGATTCAAGATCAAGTGTTCACTACTCTTGAATCAAATTCCGCTCCAGATAAAAAGAGTAAATTCAGACCTTTGGATGCTAGTCTAGCAGAAAGTCCTACAACCCAGTTCAAGAAAAAGCCTGTGGAAAGTTAACAACAAGTAAAGCAACTCTTTCAGCAACTCTTCTTACTAAGAGACTAAAGCAGAACGATCAACGATCAACCTAAATGATTTGAAATCAGGGGGAGCATCCAAAACAGATCAAGATCTTAACGAGTCAATTGAAGACTTATGTGAGCATCCAAGGGGGAGTGTTGTAAATTGTGTACGTATGCCCACATGCACATAGTAACCCCACATGCACATAGTAAACATTTCACAAGTTTAATAGTGTTTTGTTTGCTCTATAAATAGAGCATTACAAGTGTTCAAAAGGGGTGATAAAAAAAGGAAGAATTGGAGATGAATGTGAGGGACTCACGGGAGAGAGAGGAAGGAAAGGAAAGAGAGAAAAGAGAGGAAGATGAGAGGAGATAATAGAGAGGGTTATCTTTGTACTCCTATTATTTCAAATTATAATGAAAGTACCACTGCTGCCCCGAGGACGTACTCCAGTCACACTGACTGTAGAGGAACCTCGTAAATTTTGTGTCTTGTTTCATTTATTCCACTGCACCTACAGTCGATTTTACAACACTCCAATTCTTTTGTTGTTAGTTATTTTTTCTCTTTCACACAACAAAAAGACTGTTTTACTGTCTAGCGTACGAGTCATCATCGCTTCACTTTCTCACTTTCTCCTTCGACAAAACACTCTTCACTTGTGCGTCATCTTGGAGTGGGAAGGGGGACGAAACGACACTTCTTCTCCAATCTTCCAGAAACCACGACGACTCCAAATCTTTCTCCCACAAACCCTTCGTTTTCCATTTGCCGTTTTCGTCCAAAATTTCACTATCAGCTCCACTTAAAATCCCTAGAATGCCAAAACCCAACTTTGTTGAGCCAAAGAAATCGCCATCAGCCTTCGCCTATAAAAAAATTTGCCAGAAATTCGCCACAGAAAGTCCAAATTTTCTCTATTTGGACGATTGCGGAAGATCAGGTTTGATTATTTTCGCACTTTCTCGATTCGATTTCATATGATTTGGGTTTGGGCAGATCAATCCTGTAAACCGCTTCGATAACAAGTCTTGGAACTGGACTGGCCGCTATGTACACAGCCTCCATATTCTTGGTAATACACCAGAAGCAATCACCTCATGGCTTGAAAAGGATGGAAAGACTAATCCAGGGCAATCACATATCATTAACTCATCAGACATAATCAACGTTTGTAAATGCTTTGTCTTATTTATTTATTTCATTAACAATTCAAACATACCTTTATATTTATTAGTATCTTGATTTCCTTGACAATTCGAGCATATCTTTTTTGTGTGTGTTTATTTTTCTGGGTGTTTAATTTTATTTGAATTTCTTAATTTGTTCAAAGGATGCTTTGGTTAGTAGCCATTTTATTTATTGATTTTTTTTTTTTTTTTTTTTTTGGATTTATAGCACCAAGGGTATTGGTGAATGGTGAAGAGGTTTGTATGGGTTCACGTATCTTAAACATGTAGTGGGAAGTGAGGGTTTGGTTTTAGTGTTTTAGATAATTTGAGGAACATGTAGATACTATGATTTGTTGTTGCTTTCTTAAACCATGATAAAGCAGTCCATGTAATTTTAACATAGATATCATTTTTTTATCTAATGCATGAGTATATGAAATGTTAAGACGATAATATATGGGTAACACTGTGTGATTGAAAATCCGAAGAGAGACAATGAACCATGTTTGATATTTTTTTTTTTTGTTTTGGTTGATTTAAATTTGAGCTTTTTTGAGTTGGAATCATGTGTTTTGTTTAAGATATAATTTTTGGTTTATGCATGGTTTGCCAGGGCGAAATTTTGCATTTTTTTTATGGTTGGATTCATGGGTTTTTTCTTAAGTTTTGAAGTTCTTAGTTTTTATCAAGAAATTTAATCTTCTTCTCAAAAAAAATCAAGAAATTTAATCTGGGTTTCATTTATTTGTGAAACTAGCACTTATTTTGTGAAAAAATTTCAGTAAATGATTGCTTATTTGGCTTTAAATTTGACCTCTTTGAATTTCCAGGATGTTCTAGACTTTGTCAACATTCAGAGTTGTCTTCGGCAGAGCTCGATAGCAACTTTGGGTGTGTCTGAATTGCTAGTAGATATGATTTTTCTTTAATTTATTCATCTTCTTTCGAATTTATTTGCAAATATTTTTGAAGCCCATGTAATTCAAAGTTCGAATTTATTTGTAAAGTATAAGTGTGGGTGTGGACACCCAATATGATTTTTACATGGTGTTGCTATTTGGTATTTGACAATTATATTGGGTACTATCTAAATTTTGGTTTAGCTGCTGATGAAGCGAAATCAGAAGGTTATAAATGAGAGGTATAATTTAATTTTTATATTTTATGCATCATTTGATTAAATGAATACAGTAGGAACATTGCCTTGACATATGTGCTTTCGTATGGAAAACTGAATTTTGTGTGTTTATAAGCGTGTATATACTCAATATTTATTTAAATTACAATGGAATTGACTGAAAATTATGGAGAATTAAGTACAAGTTTACACACTGAAAGAAATAGAATGAAAATGTAAATAAAGAAAAATTAGAATGTAATACATAATATCTTAGTGTGCAGGGATTGATGACTAAATGTGCTAAGTGAAGAGATTGCTTATTTCGTTAGTTAAGGGCAGCACTTGATAGAAGCATAACCACAACCAGGTAAGAGTCACATTTTGGTTGCATTCCTATCTCAATTTTGTGTATTATTCACATTTTGGTTGCAACCTCTCCATAAATGGGGGTAAGGCTAGCCGACATTCACCTCTCCCAGACCCTGCGTAAAGTGGGAGCCTTGTGCACTGGGTATGACCTTTATTCACTTAGCTCTATGTTGTTAACTGAAAATTTTGCTATTCTGTTCCCTTCCGTTTTATCTACTAATTATTGTTCTATGAATAATATTCTTCAGTTAAATAATGATAACTAGAATGTCCCCAAAGAAAAAATAAAATTCAAGGATTGCAGTGTTCGGGATGATAATTTGTATCCAATATGATCATTAGCCAGTCAGAGAACCTAATTTGGGAAGTGGTTTTAAAGTTTTAATAGTTTTGTTGTGTGTAAATTTCTTGCTTTGCCTAGCTACCAAGAATCTAATAACCAAAGGCTTAGGTGTTTTCCCCAAATGGTTTTCAATTTGTTGTAGGTAAACGAGAGCTACTGTATTGTTATGCACAGGGAAATGGAAGGAAAGTAAAACTTCAAGCTTTTAATACAAATTATAAATGGAGCAACACTAAACAAAAGATGGGTAAAACTGACCACTACCTTCTTTCCATTTAAATGTAAATCAATTGATTAAGTGTTGTGTTTAAAATGAAGTTTCAATTGTTTTCAAACTCTAACAACAGACTTCTACACGTTAAGATAATCTATTTAGAGTTTTGATCCACTTTTGATTATGCAGAATTTCAATTTTTTTCCATATAAAGTTTCCATTTTTCTTTTGAGTGAGAGAAGAAGCTTTAATTTGGGGTAACAATTTTTTCCTTTGTAGATTTTTGTGGTAGGACCGAGCTCTCAAAAGGCACTTCAAGTTCTGGAAATCTTTTTTGTTATGGTTTTGTTATATCAGGTTCTAAATTGTGCAAACCATTTCTTTAATTAGAGAAAATTAAGCACAATCCTGCTTATATACATATTGTTATTTTAAGAAACAATTTTGTTAGTGTTTTCTAAAAGAAATGATACTAAGAAACTGCAATTTACTTTTCGGTATCATTCTTAACTGATTTCTGAATTTATGCCCGAGTCTAATCTACTACAAATATAGGTTGTGCAAAAGGAGGAAATGTTTAAGTAGGTATGTGTACTATATGTTTTCATCAATTCTTTCTCAGAATGTGCCTTCATTGTTGGTTTATGTACTATTTTTCTCTGTCTAAAAAATTGAAATAAATATGATATTTTCACTATTCCTTCTTCTTCCAAGTTTTTCCCACAGAATATAAAAATATAAATGACTATTTGTTTCCCTTTTTCTACTTTGTTCTTTTGGAGCAAAACAAGCATGATTTTGTTGGTACTCCTTATTTAGTGAAGCAACGGTTTCGTATTGTGAACTGTCTATGTGTGTTTATCACTCTATTCTTTATGGTTCCAGCTTCCTAAATGAAGTTTGACATGTATGGAATTTGACAATTATAAACTTCATTTTGCCCATGGACACCTATGTTGTTCCTTATTGTTGATAGAGTTGTAAATAAATTTGCACATGTATGTGAATAGTATTGTCTACTGTATATACATATATATAATTTTTTTTTAGAACTTCTAAATGTGTTATACAATTTTCAATCCCGTAGTAATGCGCGGTCATCCTTGCTAGTTCAAGCTAAAACACATACCACAACATGCAATTTATCCATGACATTTGGACTAAATATAAACATGAGTGATTCATTAATCTTGGTGAAAATCCTTTTGGTAAGACATGTAATTCCTAAAAGTATGAAATTTACTTTAGGAGAAATTATAATCCTCAATCACAGGAAGCATAACCAATTTTAACGTGATATTCGTTCAAAATTGCATCTAATGACTTTTCTAAGCATCCTAATGGTGATCAAACATCAAGACATAGATAGTTTAATTCAGTGATTGAAAATATCAAAGCAAGCATGTAACAACACTTAAGCACTTAAAAGAAATCTACGTAACCATGTTGAGGCTCACAGCCTTACTCTAGCAAAAGGAAATTAGTTATACATACTTGTTTGAATGCATAAGGAATTATCCATGAAGAATCAAAGAAAGAGAACCACCCTTTTTTACAAGAATTCTCCCTAAGCTCTCTAATCTTCTCCTCTGAAAAAAATAAAAATAAAAAAATAAAAAAAATCCTCCTTTTATCATTATCGCCTCACTATTTAATTTCCCCTAATGCATACTTAAAAGGACTCCAATCATCCATACTCCGGATCAGATTAGGAGACACAAAATAAATGTCAATTAAAATTGATTTCCTAATTTAAATGGACAAACAGGATGTGCCCTGCCTCCATACGTTTGGTAGACGAAAAGTCCCTAGATTTCAATGAATGAGCTGTCCTAAGAAGGCTTGAAACGTCTACCTCACAAGCTAGCAAGAAAGTTTCCTCAATTTAGGCTTTAATTATGCTTATGTCTCATGCAACCTTTGGAGATCCAAATTGTCTTGTCAGCATGCTGCCCTGTTTTCATTCTTAAACTGAGAATGATTGGCTAGGAATTTTGAGTTGAAAACTTGAAACGATCATCTTCAATCTCTTGTGAATCAACTCCAACTGGAATCACTAAAAAATTTCATCGTTTGCATACTTTTCCACCAAACTCGATCCTGCTGCTCCTAAAAACACAATATGGCAACAGTATCACAAATACTTAAAACTTCCAACTAAACTAGACAAGAAAAGAAATGTAAAAGGGCGAAATATATAGTATAAATATTGGTTCATCACCTTTCACGATCTTGCTCATACGAGCTTGATTCGGGTGTTGTTTTTCTTAAAAGAATGAGTTTTGAAAGGGATAGGCCTAAGGGAATCAACACTCATTCAAGGACCTAAACTTAACCTCGTTAACCTATCATTGTTGAAATGTATTTCTACATCTCAATCTTCATATTGGTTAATATGGCTAGGTTCTCAATTTTGAATTGGTTGAGGAGGGATTGCTTCGTGCAGTCATTCCATCTAATTCATCCCAATTAGCTACAATGAATTGGGCCTTAAAATTAACTGAAACAAATTTAAAAGGGTTCTTTGCCACTTAACTTCATTTAGAGAGATGACATTTTCTGGTACCAATGAGCACATTAACTTCTTTTTTTCTGTTTTTTTTGGTGAAATTTCACAGCATCTTTGGTTGCATCCACTGTGAATGTTTGGAAGCCTGGAGATATGTAGTAGGTATAAACTCACTGTCAAAATGAGAAGGCAGATGATGTGTTGTGGCAGTAAGGGCCTTAGGTTTGTATATGCCTGACTTAGATCGGGTTTGCATTGGGTGAATAGAGGAAATATGAGGTACAGGATGTGGTGCAGGGTGTAGAGAATGAGAGGCTGGTAGAGGAGAAGAGGGAGGTGAGGGAGGTTGCAGAGGTGCAGGACAAGGAGCAGGAGAATTAACGTGCTCAAGTTGAGGAACTGGCGCAGGTTGAGTAGGTGAGGAAGATATGGTGGAACACGGGAAGTGAAAGAATGAGGGGAATAAAGATTGGGAAAGGTAAGGGAAAAAGGTGAGTAAGCTTCTGGGGTATGGGGAGTGGAGGACTGTAGAAGGTGGGGATCATGAAAGGGAAATGTATGTTCATCAAAATGAACATGCCTAGAGAGATAAACCCGATTAGTGAAGGGATCTAGACATCTATACCCCTTATGAGCTAAGCTGTAGCCAATGAAAACACACATCTTGCTCTTGGGATCTAATTTGGAATTGGTGTATGGTTTTAACCAAGGAAAGCATTGACATCCAAAGACCCGAAGAGACTTGTAATCTGGAACTTTCTTGAAAAATTGTTCCCAAGGGGAAGACTTGTTGACTGGAGGTAGGCGATTGATAAGATAGACGGCAGTAAGAAAACCTTCAACCCAGAATTTGTGAGGAACGTGTGAGGCAATAAGGAGCGTTCGAGCAGTCTCAACAATATGTATGTGCTTCCTTTCAGCACAACCGTTTTGCTGAGGAGTGTAAGGACAACTGAATTGTTGTTGAATGCCATGGAAAGACAAATGATGCTTGAAGTTAGAACTTGTAAACTCACCCCCTGAGTCTGATCTTAAAGTGCCAATTTTGTAACCAGACAGATTCTCAACAAGAGCTTGGAATTGGACAAAAATGTGAAACACTTCCGATTTATGTTTGAGAGGATACAGCCAAGTATATTTGGTAAAATCATCTACAAATATGACATAAAAGCGATAGCCACGAACAGAACATACTGGAGCTGGCCCCCAAACATCCGCATGAACTAATTCAAGAGACCTAGAAGTAGTACAGAGAGATTCTTGAAATGGTAACTTGGCACATTTGCCTAAAACACAATTGGAGCAGAAGAATTGTTGAACATTATTAGAAACAGGCAGTATAGACTTTGATAATAGTGATCGAAAAGTCTTGAACGTTGGATGACCCAATCGTTGATGCCACACATGAGAAGAGATCCTTATTGCAGAATGAGCATGAACCTTCGGTGCAGTTGAAGAAGAAGCATAAAATGGATAGAGACCATTGCTGACAGGAGCTCTAAAAAGCATCCTCCCTATAGTAAGATCCTTGACATGGAAGTCAAAAGGATTGAGGGTTAGTGAACACCAATTATCACGCAAGAACATCTTGGCAAAAAGAAGATCATGCTTCAAGTGGGGAACATGTAACACATTCTTTAATTGAAAATCTGCAGAAGGGGTTTTAAGTAAAGTAGAACCAGTATGGAGAATTGGCAAACCTTGGCCATCTCCAATGTAGACTTTATCTGGACCAGTATAGGGCTGTGGATTCTGAAGATGATGAATATTATTGGTCATATGTGAGCTTGCGCCGGAATCCAGTAGCCATGGTGGTGGAGAAGAAGTTTGGCTGGGGGAACACGGCCTTGAAAATTTAGATTCATTTGGTGGGAACAATCAATGGCAAGATGTCCAGTGTCCTCACAAATTTGACACGGAATGACTGCAGAAGTGAAAGAACGGAAGCCACGATTTCCACCTCGATTTCCACCACGATTAGTTGAGGAATTATTAAACCGATTGGAACGATTACGGTTGTTGTAGGGCCTTTGAGAAGTGTTCCGCTGAAAATTACCGCGATTATTGCTAGGGTAATAATTCTGAGAACCATTAGACTGAGCATTGTAAGCCTGATGTAGTGGAGGTGTAGGAAGCAAAGGAGGAGCATTGGAAGCTGCTGGAATGGAGGTGAAAGCCTGATACGGTTCAGAGGAACCTTGAGATGGCTTGCGACGAGCAAGAGCCATTTCTTTGCTGAGAAGAAATCCATGTAGATCATCAACAGTAGTATCAGCAAGACGAAATTGAATTGAATCCACGAAGGAATCATAGTCATCAGGCAAGCCATTAAGAATGAGGTGAAGGAGATTTGACTCCTCAACCGAGGCACCGGCAGCAGCGAGAGCATCAGAAACCTCTTTGATACGTTGCAAATATTCAGATATTGTGGAAGTGCCTTTCGACATCAATTGCAAATTCGATCGTAACTGATGAATGTGAGAACGAGAGACGCCACCGAATCGCTTCTCAAGATTTTGCCAAAGTTCACGGGAGGATTGAACACCAACAGTAAAGGGAATCAAATCCTCAGAGAGAGTGGAATTGATCCAAATGAGGATGTTTTGATCCTTTTCGTACCAGATCTCGAAGGCCGGATTCGGAATCGAGGACAAATTTCCAGAAAGATCAGCAAGAAATTGAGGCGGTGGCGGTTCAGATCCATCAACCATGCCGGTGAGCTTGTAGCGGCGGAAGATCGGTTCGAACAGAGAACGCCAAACAAGGTAATTATGACGCTTAAGTTTTGTTTGAATCATACTCCCAATGTTTTGGATCGTGATGGAGTTGATTGAAGCTTGAAAAGAGGAGTTAGGGTTCATCGGAGAAGGATTGAGATGTGGAGGCAGCGAAGAGGAAGGATCCGCGATCGCCGGAGAGGAAGGATGCGCAGCCACAGGAGAGGAAGAATGCGAAGAATTTGCCGCCATTGATGAACAAGATCGAAGATCTGCAGACGGAAGCAATGGTGTTTGGTAGGTAAGAAAATAAGCAAGAAAGTAGCAGAAGGAGGATCGAAGTCGGTGGACTTAAGCGAGTGATACCATATTGAGAAATGATTTCATTTCTTTATAATTAGTTACACTGAGGTATTTATATAAACTAGATTTACAAAGGTAAAGAGAATAGTTACAGTGGTAACTATTTGTAACTATTCTAACAACTAACTAACTTGACTAACACTAATGTTTTACAATGGTAACTTGCTCTTCATTGGGAACATCGTATCACTTTAATCTCTCCAAAAAAAGGAATATATTTGCTACACTACGGACTCATATTATAATATATAATATGAATTAATAATCGATCACCCAAGATCATGAACAATCAATTCTACATACTTCGAAAAAAATTAAAAATAACAAATATAGGAATCTGTAATTTCTGCATGTTCCGAGCATCAATGAAATTGCTTAACAAATATAGAAATATATATATATATATATATATATATATATATATATATTTCTACAATACGGTATTCAGAAAACGAAATTGACACAGATTTCATTAAATATATATATATATATATATATATATATATAGCATGATGATCTTCTCTAGATCTTCTTTGTGGGAATCTTAGAAATTCTTACATCATGATCATTCATCGTATATCGTTCGGTTAGTTTTCGTTAGATACTATTTATGTTTATTATTAAATAAAAATAATTTAAAATAATTTATGACCGTATGATATACGATACCGTACAATTTATGATAAATAATTAGAATATGAGAATTCTTAAGATCCTCACAATTTGAATCCGGATAAAATCCAAATCTACAGGCCCTTTAACAAGAGGGATCCCTATTTAAAAAAAAAAATAGGGACATTCTCTTGACCTTTGGATTGATTTTAATGAAATTATGTAGTAAAAATTAAATTATAGGTCATATAATTTCATTAAAATCAAATCCAATGACGAAGATATCTCAATTTTTTTTTTAAAATGGGCTAAACATATTTGACTGCAACCTGCTAGGGATCGGCATACGATGAAAGATTTGAATATTGTGCCAGTGCACATGGACAATGACATGATAGAGACTGAGTGAGACAACTTAGCAGAACTATAAAGAAAAACAAATATATTTCAAATTAAAAATATGATACTTTTCCGAAACTCTTCACAAAATCCATTTTTGTTTGCCTTTACAACAAAAATAAAAGCTTTCTGTTATTTAACGTTTTAAAACGGCTGAATAAATTTTGATAGCGAATTACTGGATTCGTTGAATGAAAGGGGCCCTACAACCTCTTGAAAAATAAAAATATCATCCAACAAAAATGTTCAACCGAGGTTTAAATATTAGGAATTTTAACAATAAGTTTTCGGTATTGTTCACTTCAATAAAAAATCATAATTTTACACTAAAAAATCAATCATGGTACTATTTATTTTACCCTTTATTTTGTTTTTATTGTTAAAACTCAAAATTTTCAAACCTTTTTTTATTAGTTTTCCTTTAAATATTCACTACAATTGTAGTTGGTAGCACTACCATGATATAAAGAATATAGCTATATTTGAGGCGTACACTAAAGTGGAATCACTATCAGTTATTGATAAATCACCAACCCACAACTCAATTAAATCTCAGTTTACTACCTTTAAGTTTTGTGAATTTCAACATTTGGTACATGAAGTTTTTTTTGTCCCAGAGTCATACCTAAAGTATTAATTTTGGGACAGACTCACACATCCATTAGTCTAGTTATTAAGTCTCCTGTTAACTGATGATGTGGTGCCCATGTGGACAATGACTGGACGCCACATGTCATTAAGGAGTTCACGTGGAAATTAAAAATAAAATTAAAATTAAAAAAAAACCCAAATCCCTTTCGTCTTCCCCAGAATCCTCAACCGTGCCCACCCTCCCACCCCCATCACCTACCCCTTCTCAACAAACCCTCCCACCCCAGTTGTCACCAAAAAACCCCCAGTGTTCATGTGCCTCTCTGCATATACGTAGTTGGAAATGGCATAGGTGGTGGCATTCCCACCGGAGACAACCCTTGGCTGGTTAAATGTCATATGTAAGTTTTTGTGTGTAATAATAATCGTCAGTGTAACCCCTAGGGTTTCCCATTTCGTCACTTTCCGGTGATAGATGGTGGTCGGCTCGTGACCAGCAATGATTTGCATCCTCTGCAACTCTTGGATCTGCCGCTGAATCTCCGCCTGAGATATCACCGGTTCTTCAGTGTGGCGATCCCTAGGAAATCGGGGTTTGTCGACGAGGCCATGACCGGAGCCATCAGAGAGGATCCATCAAGATACCCGATCTGAACTGAATTCAAAGCGTCGGCAAACCACTGGCCCTCGGACTTAGTCTAGCTGGAGCTGAAGCTACACGAAGTGTTGCTGTCAAGAGGGAAAAGAAAGAGTTGGAGCCTAGTAGGCTTAGCGGAAGCGCTGTAGAGTCGACCGTACTCGACCATCATGTGGTCGAGGTCTTCGTCGTTGGTGACAGATATGAGAATGTCAAGATCTTTGCCAGGAAGCTGGTACTTGAAGCAAACGGCGTCATTAGAGGTGTCACAGAGGGAGGAGAGCTTAGAGATGAAAACAAAAAGCTTGATATTGCGATTAACAACGAGGATTTTGGTGTCACCGCTGACGTAGGCAAGCTGGTGGTCATGGGGGCGAGGCTGGATTTTGCTGCAGTAGCTGCACATGAACTTAACTTTGTAGTTGGAGGTTGTGAAAGGGCGTTTGGTAGTCTCACGAAAGGGTGTCGCAGTCGATTTCATGGGAGCGAGGGGAAGAGTCGCGGGAGTCTGGGTACGAGTGGTGCGAAAGAAAGAGTATTGGGGAGTGGAAGAAGGGGTGGGAGGGTGGGTACGGGTGGGTATTCTGGGGAAGATGAAGGGGATTTGGTTTTTTTTGTTTTTAAATTTTTTTTAAATTTTTTTATTTCCACGTGGATCTTTTAATGACACGTGGCGCCCAATTATTGTCCATATAGGCACCATGTCATCAATTAACAAGAGACATAACAGCCAGACTAACGGATGTATAAGACTGTTCCAAAATTAACACTTTAGGTATGACTCTGGGATGAAAAAAAAACTTCATGTACCAAATGTTGAAAACCACGAAACTTGAGGGTAGTAAACTGAGATTTATCCTTAAAAAAAATAAAAAAAAAGTATTACATATTGTCCAACTATTGATAGGCATACGCATCATATTTTCATTTAAAACAATAGCCTCCGATCGATGCATACTTTTTCCCACGGCTTGGAAACCAAATTAAAATGATCAATTTTGAATATTTGATCAATCACCATCTACTGTATATTGTAAGACTTAAACATCAAACCTATGTGAAGGGATCTATGAAAACTATTGCGAACAAATAATTAAAGCATAATGTCACTTAGTACTCCAGTCTAGTGATATTTCTCTTCATTTGTAAGAGTAGTTCCACCATGGGGTATTACCCGATGGACTAGCTTTCAAACAGGGCCAGAGAGCCCGAGTGGGGAGGTCTAGCATGTGATGGCGATGGAGCCCGAGTAGGCCCGAAGGAGAGGCCCGACAGGAGTTGCCAGCTCGGGAGCCCGAAGGCCACGTGACGCAAGGAGTGGGGAGGTCTAGCATGTGCTGGCGATGGAGCCCGAGCATGCCCGAAGAAGAGGCCCGACAGGAGTTGCCAGCTAGAGAGCCCGAAGGCCACGTGACGCAAGGCTGACGTCTGGGCGACGTCAGCCATCATCTCCTCTGCATTTTTGGGCCTCAACCTTATAGCTACTCGACCTCTACATTTCATTTACTCATTTGAATTTGCCATGCTTATTCTATTACCTCAAATTTTCCAAATTCTAAACATTTATTTAAATGATGAATTGAAATAATGCTTCCATTTTTCTCCAAAATTCAATCGAATCCCATTTGGGGAAACAAAAACTGACGTCGCCAAATAGCGGAGCCAAATAGCGCAGGACGGATCCAGGAGATTGAGAAGGAGGGAGTTAGGACTTGAATGATGACGATTTGAAATTAACCGGGCTATCCAGCTTCACGACACCGCTTTGCACCACACCATTTCGCGAAGCCATGGACTACATAAGTGCAGCAAAAATTAAGAAGGGCATTCAGGTGTGCTGCTCTGCTGTGTGTCAGAAGTGAAGCAAAAAAAATGGTAGAAGTTTCGAGAGATAGGAAGAGATTTCCAAAAGGAATTTTAATTTATACAAAGTAATAATATAATATTAATTTATACAAAGTAAATAATATAAGGAAGAGATTTCCAAAAGGAATTTTAATTTATACAAAGTAATAATATAATATTAATTTATACAAAGTAAATAATATAATGTTAATTATAAATAAAAAAAATACTAATATTTTATTACTTATTGTCAGGGCTATTCATTGTAGGGATGGAGATGCAAAAGACAGTTACTGTTTATTAATGACAGTTACTGCTCACTAGGTGGATTAAATAATGAATAACCCCCGGGGGGGGCTTTGCAACGGTGGAGTTGCTCTAAGTGAGATGTCTTATATTCGATTCTCACTAATGACGTGATTGAACTATATTATTATGGCAAAACCCATCATCCTGGCCCTTAGTGTAGATATTATTGGCATACTAACTCCCTTCATCTACCTTCCTTCATATTGAACACACAGTATTTGCTTGTTTTTGACAATTTCTTCTAATTAAGCATTCTTCTTGTCTCTCTTAAACAACTTTTAATCTGTTATTTAGTATTACAGTCTAATAGTATTTATTTTTACTTGTAAGCGAGAGGTCTTAAGCTTGATTCTCGCCAAATGCAAGTTTAAATCATATTAATACTAGCTTATTGTGAGCCTAAGCTTATCCTCTTTTTGCTATGATAGATAATATCATTTGTTAAAAAAACAAAAACAACTTTCAATTAATTTGTTTGAGCACAAGCATGTGAATGCTTGATATGGCCGAGTACCAGCCCAATAAATGCATGAGAAGAAAGAAAAAAAAAGACTTTCCATTTTAGCTAATGATGCAACAACACATGAGCTGTCTACTTTAAGTTGGTTGAGTACTGCTATTTAATATTCTTGTCTAATGATATTTAGTGATTTTTTTTTCTGGTAAAAAAGAAGTGTTAAATTTGAATCTCGTGATGACCACTTCGGTACAAATTTATTAAGGGATATATTATCTACACATCATTTTTTACTTCTCACATACTATTTATTAATTTTTGTTCATTGATATTTTTCAATTCATCTGATCCGAATATCGAAAACCAAAAAGTGTGAGAGAAGTAAAAAGGGATATGTGGATATCACACACCTTTATTAATTCCTTCACCCTTATTGTAAAAATTGGAAATTGGTTGAATTATATTATTTTGTTGAATTCAAACTCAACTGCCCAAACCAAACTCAATTAATTTATTTTGTTGCAACTCAAAGTAAACCTACTTTCCACATAATAATTTCTCAACAACAAAAGGAATCACGAGCTTCTACATCCATTATTTTTGCTTTTACGCAATGAATCTTACCCTTTTAGTTACTCCTATTCACCTTTCAAACTTGTTTCCTACGAATCAACATTTTCTACCTAAACTCATCTCCCTGGATACACCATACGTACAACTCACTTGTAATAACATATCATTGTCGTACACATTCCATAACTGAAATAATTCACTTGCCAAATCACTATTTAATATTGTTTCCGCAAAAAATCAATCAAACTAAAGACTGTTTAATATTTATGTGTGAAGAAGATGACGATTTTGGTAATTAAAATCATTTTGATAAAGTACCTTCCATTTGTGATAAATATAGACGATCAATTTGATTAATTATTTGTAGAAAAAAAAAATTAAACAGTGTTAAATCAAATAAATAATCTGATTATTGACATGTGTACAAGTACAATAAGAGTTTGTTAATTTTCTACAAATGGGTGGATAATTAAGAAGGTGAACCCTAGGGTGCACTTAAACATTGTTCCCGTGTTAGAATGTATTAAAGATTTAAACAACATGGTTCTAGGATCAAAGTTTGACAAGCATCACGAAACAAGGACGAGAAGGATGAATGGTACTAACCTGCACTGATTGGAGGCATGATGGTTCGAGTATCACATGAAAAAAAGTTAGAAGTTCCATCATAAAACTACTCGATAATATGGAGAGTAGTCAAATATCTTATTAGCTCTTTTATGGTTTGGTTTGTCACCGATTTGAGACTTTGTCTTCACTTTTTCACACGCCCCCTCATATGTGACGAATTTTCAAGCATAACACATGGACAACACAAATTCAGTGAATTGGAGCACGTGTAGCCGATGGGCTTCACACATGGACTAACCTACTCTGATGCATGAAGAAAGTTGATGTTCTATCATAAAACCAATTAACAATATGGAGAGTAGCCCAAATTACTTATAAGCCCATGCAAAGGTCCTTCCTCCCATCAATGCAAAATTCATTCTCAACATGCTCCCTCACTTGTGACAAATTTTCAAGCCTGACACTTGGACAAGACAAACCAGGTGACATGGAGCGTCTATGGCCATTGAGCTTCACACGGGGGGACAACCTGCTCTGATACGATGAAGAAAGCTTAGGTTTCACCATAAGACCAATTGAAAGTAGAAGCCCAACCTCTTATAAGCTCTTGCATGGTTTGGTTCCTCACCGATGTCAGACTTTATCCTCACATTCTCACATCACAAGATGCATTCCACTCTCTCTAGTTTGTAATGCTCCAACAAGAATAGCGACTTTCTTAGAATGGAACCATATTGTTGTGAGCGCATGGACATCTTTATCATAGCAATAGGGATTCCTCTGAAATCGCCTATTGTAGTTATTAGAAGGATAAACCAAATCACCATTAATCTTAATGTTGTCCCTCCAAGGCACGTACAATATATCTTACCAAATAGGGTTTCAAATAGTCAACCGTGTGTCTCTTGGTTCCATGATTCTTGCCAATCAGCATTGAATCATGTTGAAGGTATATAACTTGTCTTAAAAGTTACTTGTCTCAATCAACTAATTAATTAAGTAGATTATGCACCTATAATCCAACTTAGATTCATCTGTAGTTAAATGTGGTAGCTGCATTGTTGTTTAAGTTACTTGGTCTCTAAGCAGTAAGCACACATCATATATAACTTGCTTATTTTCAACAGGGAGCTCCCTGTGTGTGAGTTGGTAGCCCATCTGACTTCCATTCTTTTCTTTATTGACAATAGCAGAGAGCACACATTTTGTGTGTGTGAACAACCGTCAACCTCTTCCCACGTTCTTCTCAAGCGCAACCGCTTTAGTTCATTCAAACTATTCAAAAAACATTATGAGTTCACTTACCTATATGAAAAAATGACCGTGAGACAATTTCTCTTAATAAGTGCATATTTTTATCTTATGTAAATTGTTTTCTACCATACTTAGGGTCTCCGTATTTAGATCTCGTATAAATACTCGATGGACTTAAATGTAATTATGTAATAACGGAAGGGGGCAAATATGTAATAAGTGAGGAGCCCTTATTTTATAAAAGGACTTCTCACTCTCCTCATTAGGGGAGGCCATTTTCTTAGGCCACACCCTCACTCTCTCAAAGCTCTCACTCTCATAAAGAAGCCCCCTTTCTCCCTAAAAAATGCAATATCAGTGTGGACGTAGCCCAAACCTTGGGGTGAACCACGATACATCTTGTGTTATTTACTTTCTTGCAGATTCACGGTTAGATTTACGTTGTTCCAAGACCCTTCCGGTTTTGTGCATCAACATTTGGCGCCGTTTGTGGGAATCAACACAAAAAACTATGTCGGTTCTCTTTCATTTTTTCATTAAATTTCACCACTGTCCACCGTGAATCTGCACAACCTGAGATCCTACTCGATCTGCAACCAGGGATTACAGAGAGGGAGAAGGGGAAAGAGAGAGAGAGAGAGTAGATTGTCTTTGTAAATGGTTTAAACAGGGCAACTATACCCACTATGAACACTTGTCCCTCACATCTTCTTCATCTTCTTCGTAATCTCTCATCCTGCCATTTTTATACTCTTTAGAGAGAGGGAGTGAGGGGAAATCCCAGATGCTCTTCAAATGGGGAAGAGTGAAGCAAATCTGCAGCAGCAACAATAGCAACAACATCAGCAGACTCAGGAGGCTCAGAATTCTTCGGGATTCATCTGTCTGCGATGTTCGATGGTTTTCAACATAATCGGCAGAGAGCTGAGCTTCAGATGCGTCGTCGTTTTGATTAGACCTGTAAACGAGTCGGGTTTATTGGGTTTGGGTCGGGTTGAACCCGACCCGTTAAGTTAACGGGTCACCCGAACCTAACCCATTAAGCTAACGGGTCACCCGTTTCACCCGTTAACACTCGTTAACAATTATTATTATTTTTATTTTTTTCATAAAGTTTATTTTTTGTCATTAAGACTTTACTAAAATTACTAAAATATCATCAACTAACGGGTACTAATGGGTTGACCCAAAGTGACCCGTTATTTAACGGGTTGTTAACGGGTTCATCCGTTAACGACCCGACCCGTTAAGCATCCACCCAAATACAAATATTAACGAGTTGGGTCGGGTCGGGTTAACGGGTTGGGTCCAAAATGCCAGGCCTAGTTTTGATCCTAGCTTCTCAATTTTACTCTCTAGGATCTTATGGATCCCACATTTCCATGCAATCATCTCCCAGTTTGATGCCAGACAGGAAATTAAGCTCAATGAGGCCACAAAGCCCAAGAAGAAGGCAACGCGACCACCAAACCCCAGGCAAAAGCAGCCGTCTTCCAACAACAAAAAACAACAAAAAAATTCACAGTGAAGAACTACAAAGAGGATGCTCCTCCTCTTTCCGCCACTTCCACCACTTGCACTATCCCCAGTGTCCAGCCTTCCTCCTCCGTCGCCGAGCTCAAAGCCGTCTTCCGTGCCAAAGTGAAGCAGTTTCAGGCCTATGAGATGTTACTGAGTTACAGCCAATCGGAGATAATCGAAAGGCACTAGCTCCTGCTCCGAATCCCCGACCTGACAACTTTCCTTTTCTGACCTCAAATTCACAGATGCCGTTTTGTCTTTCCCTACCTAATTATTGTGTCAGCCCATCCTCCGAAACGGCGCTCCAATCCGTTCCCAGTCCACCCGCGTCATCATCCTTGGAGAGTCGAACATGGCCGCCAATTCAATCTGAGTCGCCGCCGCCCAAATGACCTCCGTCCAATTTTGCCACCTGCTCTCACCTCATCAAACTGCTGCCGGAGCAAAATTGATTTGCTTTTCGAAAAGCTTTTCATTTATTGGTGCCAAAGATGGTGACAGTCTGAAAATAGCAGAACTTCTAGAGGGTCAAATTTTGCAAAAGCACTGCTTTCTAGCAAGAGAATCTGGGATTTGGTTGTCACTTGGAGGGTTGCAAGAAAAGGGATCGGATAATAAACATTTGTGTAACACCCATGTTGTTGTTAATGATGCTGGAAACATCAGAAGTACTCACAGAAAGATTCACTTGTTTGATGCGAATATTCCTGGTGGAAAGGTGTACAAGGAAGGCAGCTTTACCGAACCTGCTCGACGAAGAAGAAAGGTTATTGAGTTCATGCGTCAGGTCGGGGCAGAAGTGGGATCCAGTTTTTTATGAGGATGAAAACCAGTTCAACTGAGTCAAAGAAGAGGAAAGGGGTTGATGCTAAAGCGACAGAGCCTTTTCCAGGAGGGCCAACATATACATCATTGCTAAAGAGCTTTAAGAGTCACGTTGCTGCAACAGTTTGGAATAATGAGAAATTATTGAGCATTTTACAGTGGTGCAGTTATGTGAGACGGTTCTGCTCACATGTCGAGAAAGTAAAAGCAAAGCAGAAAAGAAAAGAGAAAAGAAGAAACAGAAACAAAAGCAAAAGCAAAGCAAAAAGCAAAAGAAGATAAAAAGAGCAGACATAATTGCGATGATGATGACATGCAAAAAAGAGATTTATGGGCGTGACCCATTAAACAGAGGATCGGATTTATTTTTTGAATGATGTAATTTATTTTCCTTACTTTTCGAAGACATCTGTATAAACCTCATCAGAGGGTCATTAAAAATTAAAAAAAAAAAAGGGCAAGCCTAAAATAATGGGCTGGAGTGTTATATGAAGGGCGAAGACCCATATGCCCAAAAGAGCCAGACCTTCTATTATCACCAACCAGGTGATCAAAAGTACGTCCAGTACTACAAAAAATTATTCGGCAACCTGCTGCTATTATCACCAACCAGGTGATCAAAAGTACGCCCAGTACTCTAAAATTATTCGGCAACCTGCCGTTATTATCACCAACCAGATGATCAAAAGTACGCCCAGTACTCCATGCTCACTTATGTCATTCATACATAAACATTCATGAGCATCACTCATGACAATCATACATAAACATTCATGACCATCTTTCATGTCAACATTCATGAGCATCACTCATGTCAACATTCATGAGCATCACTCATGTCAACATCCATGAGCATCACTTATGTCAATCAACATAAACATTCATGAGCATCACTCATGTCATTCTAGCTTCAAAAGCTTCATTTACAGAGCTTTAGCTTTAAAAGCTTTATTTACAGAGCTCCAGCTTCAAAAGCTTCACCTACAAAGCTTCAATGCAAGGTATACAAATACCGCCTCCGAACAACCGCTATTTTGGCCCATACATGGATTTAATTTGAAGTCTCTAGCCAACAGACTCTATTGATCGAAGACTTGGGGGACTACATTATGTACCATATATTGGGCCTCAACTGGGCCTCATGAAAAATACTTGGGGGACTAGCCCATTATTTATGTACTGAGGAGCGAGCCCTTATTCTATAAAAGGAACTCCCTCACTTTCATTAGAAAGCACCCATCACTTATGTATTGAGGAGCGAGCTCTTATTCTATAAAAGGGACTCCCTCACCATCATTAGAGAGCCTCAACTCTAGCCCATCGTTTATGTAGATGAGCGAACCCTTATTTTATAAAAGGGACTCCATCACTTTTATTAGAGAGCATCGTCGTCAGCTAAGCAACAACCTCGTCGTGAGCATCACTTCTAACCCATCACTTATGTATTGAGGAGCGAGCCTTTATTCTATAAAAAGGGACTCCCTCACCTTCAACGCCACAAGCCGAGCCAACCAAGGCAACATAAGCCACATGCAGAGTAGCCTCGCAACATATGCTACTTCTAGTTGAGCATCATTTCAGATTGAGCACCGTCTCATATCGAGTATCACTTCTAGACGACATCTAGTTACTTTGGCCCACACAAGGACTGAATTTCAAGTCTCTA